GAACCGGAGTGAAGATTAACGACACGAGTCGGCCTCGATGACGAATCGATCGAGCAACCTGCCGTCGCTTGCGCGAGTAGACCAGACCAAGCGATCGGTAGCGGAGTAATGACCGGCCTCCCAGACCTGGGAATTCTTGTGCTGAGGATCATCATCCGAAGAATGACGGAGATCGGTGGGGCCTTGACAGACCAATTGACTGCCGATGAGCTTGTAGACCCGGACCTTCTTCTCCTTGAATGCTCTGCGTTTGTTGCGCGAATCGTCCCAGTCTTGGTTCCACTCCTCGACCGAGGAGAGCGTCTGAGACATGTCGAGCTGGAGATGGTTGAAGTGGAACTGGCCGAGGACGGTGCGTTCGTAGAACCCCCACTCCTCGACCCGCTCCTCATCCAGCACGCCCCCCGCCCCGCCGCTGATCACATAGACCACCCCATGGTCCATCTGTGGGTTCACCGGATCATACACCTGCTTGTTCTGCGTCCGCGCCATCTTCTTTAGCTCGACTGGGATCCCCGCTGAGTTCGTCTCCCCAAAGTATTGCCCCGCTACAAAGTTGCTCAACATCCCCCGTGCATACATGTGCGAATGTCCCGAAATCACCATCGAGGCTGGTGGAATATCGTATCTTGAGGTCAGAGGTGATAAGCCATGAAAGTGTGGTGCAAATCGAGTTCGAACGTATGATCCCCTTTTCATAAACCCAAGAAGAAATTGAAAAAAAAAAAAAAACAATTAGTTTTTTGTACTTGGATTCTTCTGTTTTTTTTTTTTTTGGGAATGACTTACCAAGCCGATTCATGGCCCTGATTCCACATCTGTTTCTCCCAGAACTCGATAAAGGGGGGGACATGAACGAGGATGATTCTGATACTAGCCTCCTTCCATTCGGGGCGAGCCATTTCCCAGAGCAGCCAGCGTTCGTGTTCGTCGACCTCGGAGAGGGAGGATTGCGGGGAGAGTTTCCTGGTGGGTTCGAGGTTGGAGTCGCAGACGATGACTCGAACTCTCGGATGAGGGGAGTACGCAAAGTAGGTCCCTCTAGCTTGAGGGTCCCGTTCGTGTGCGGTGAAGGTCGTATAACTCTTATCTGCCTCTGCAATCCCAGGGATCTCTAAAGGAGAGTTCGAGTTCAGGTTGGCGGTCTGGGTCCGGTTCATCTCTCCGATCTGGACCTTGGGCAGTCCGCCGGAGTATAAGTTGTGGCCCGAGTTATCAAAGTCGTGGTTCCCCTTGGCATAGACGATCGGGATCTCGGAGGCGAGCTTGTTCTTGAACGTGAGTGGGTCCCAGAAGTCGGTCTGCCATTGTTTGAGGTTGTGTGCATCCTGGACGGCATCGCCCAGATGGAAGATCATGTTGGGTTTGTTTGGGATCGGCAGGGGATGGTTGATGAGTTGGCGGGGCGAGAAGATGGACTTGGGTGAGGGCAGATAGGCTTTGATGTTGATGAATCGTTTGACGAGCTTCCTGAAGGTCTTGACTGCAAACTGGTTATCCCCAATGACGACGATGTGTAGTACGTCGCTCGGGGATCTCGAGGTGGCTGAGGTTTCAGAGATTCGATGGTGGCCGTGGTTGAGGTCGATTGGGTCGATGCCATGCCAGGTGAATCGATGCTTGGAGTAGGTCTTCTTGATCATCTCGAATTGGTTATTAGTATCATGATGTTGATTGTTGTTGTTGAAGTGACTGTTGAGTAGGACGATCTCATAGACGTAGGTGGTGCCCGGTTCTAGTTCTTCGAGTAGGGCAGTGTGTACCCATCTCCTCCATCCGTTGTCGCCCTCTGGTCTGGTCCTTCTGATGTTCGTAGCGATCTTGCCGGGTGGTCAGTTTGAGTAGTCGTTCTTGGGTTGAGCTTGGGGAGGCGGTCTGATTCTTGTAGCCCTGTCCGATGGCCCAGTATCTCAGTCCTAGTTGGTGTCCGGATGAGCTTGCCATCTTGTTTGACTCCCATACGACGGCTGCTGATTGTGATGAGTGGATGAAGATGAGCGGAGGTTTTCGTATCTTGAGTCCGATTCCGATCCAGCCAGCCGAGAGTAGTCCGTCTGCGATCTTGAATCTGAAGAGGATGAGGAGTGTGTTGGATGCCCAGTAGATGAGTAGGATGAGTAGGATGAGTAGGATGATCGGTCTGATTGAGGCTGAGTGAGCTGGGATGAGTCTTGTTAGTTTCCTCCTCCTGTGTGAGTTTGAGTTGTTGTTGTTGTAGCCTGGTAGTGTTGGTGGTGAGTTTGATCTGAAGTAGGATGAGTTCCTCTTGGAATTGCTTGGTGAAGTCCTGAGCATGTTGTTGTTTGTTGGTTTGTTGGTTTGTTTTTGTTTGTTGGCTGGGGGGAGAGTGAGTTGTTTTTATGGTGGTGGTGGTGATTTGAAATTTCGAAGGCCCTGGCTAATCTACCATCTCCACCCTCCATACAGTCTGAGTCTGCACCACTCCTGACAACACAGCACCACTGCTCATCAACTGACTGTTTTTCTTGGAGAACTGGCTTGAAGATGATGGCCTATCTGGGGTTTGATCATTGGCTATCACCAAAACAACAAAGCACTTTACCACCGCCGTTTACACAATCATTTTTCTTTTTTTTTTTTTCTTTTTTTTTTTTTCTTTTTTTTTTTTTTCATCGTGTGAAATGTGAAGTCTCAGCTGCGGAAACAATTGTGCTGCGCTCTTATCCCCCCCGGTCTTCCGACCGTTGGACTTGGTCTCGTCACTGGAACAGCTGGCCCATCTTTTGTCTGCAAAACAACTTCAACTCGAACTCCCCCACAAGACAGTCATCATCACCAACACCCAGACTAGACTAAACACTACTCCAGGTTCAGCATGCCAAAGGTTCACCATCCATCACTCACTCCCCAGACTTCTCTCAAGACTCCTGACAATCCCTTTTTTTTTCTTTCATTTCTTACAGAACAAAGGCAAGGGAGGTAAGAATCGTCGGAGAGGCAAAAACGAGAACGAGTGCGAAAAGCGAGAACTGGTATTCAAGGAGGACGGACAAGGTAAAAAAAACCACCACTACCATCAGTTCAGACGATCCTAACTATCTCCAATCGATCTCATATCAGAATATGCACAGGTCACCAAGATGCTCGGGAACGGCCGCTTAGAAGCCATGTGCTTCGATGGCGAGAAACGGCTGGCTCATATTCGTGGCAAGATGCGGAAGAAGGTGGGCAACGATCCTGTCTTCAGAGCTTCAGTTTATCTTATTAAAAAAAAAAAAAAAAAAACTTGAACTATCTCTATAACAGGTCTGGATCAACCAAGGTGATATCATCCTGATCTCTCTGCGAGACTTCCAAGACGACAAAGCCGATGTGATCCAGAAGTACACCACCGACGAAGCCCGGAACCTCAAGGCCTACGGCGAACTGCCAGAGAGTGCCAAGATCAACGAGACAGATACCTTCGGTCCTGGGGAGGATGATGAATGCAATTTCGAGTTCGAAGAGGTACTTGCTTCTTCTTCATCATCCTTCTCTCATCAACTTCACACTAACTCTCTGCTTCGGTTTTTTTTTTACTAAGGCTGATATCGATGATATCTAAGCCATTCCCATCATTGATTGTGTTTCTATGAACTACTACATACATCGTTTCTCTTCTCTTCTCTTGTTCTTTCTTTCTTTTTTGGTGTGTATCCAAGGTTTTCTTTTCTTTTTTTTTGTGTGTTTTTGATTCTTATTGTTATTATTGATGATGATGAGAGATTGAATGTTCCAGAGATGGATGGATATTCGGAACCTGATTATCCTTCTGGTTGGAGAGATTGAGTTTGTGGATGAGCTCGAGTGAATTTTTGTAAACCTGCAGCTCACCACTGATAGCTGTATCATACACAGATCTGAGTTTAGGTAGATCCATTAAATACATAAAGAGATACATCAAATGGTAAATAATGTTAAAATGATAGTGGCAACATGGAGGATAAAAATGCCAGCGAAAATGGGTACAAACACACTAAGCATGCTGATCATAGGATCAGAAGAGCACAACTTGATAGTGGGATTCATGTGCAAGTCAGAAGTTTTATGTGCATGTGATTTCTTGAGATTGTGGCAGTCATAATATTCATATATATTGGGACTTCATATGCAGAAAGAAAGCGAGGGAAACCTGCATGGGAATCTGCTGTGCTATGTGTACTACTTGGTTTTATAATATCAGACAGGTCTGTCTAGCAGAAGCCCCTTGACTTTTGATGGAAAATGCAGTAGTAAGTAAGCATTCCTCAGATTCTTTGAATCATCTGCATAGAGAAGATCAAGAACAAGAAGAAGAAAACTGCTCTGATCTGGATATGGATGAGCTACTATGAAAATCAGTGCTTAGATTCAATTGAGTATAATATCCTCCACATTCATATTATGGATTGGAATCCTTGATCATGAGATGTTTACAAATACTCAAGTGTGAATCTATTCAAATCCACATCAAGAACTTGTTGGAACTGATGACAGAAGTGGTGGTGCTGATGATCACATGGTTTTTAAAACAACATCTTTAAATTATGTAGCCTGCTCATCATTACTACCATCAATTGTGATCAGTCATTTGCTTTGGTTGACATGTTGAAGCAAGCTGAAAAAAAAAAGAAAGTGAAAGTGAAAGCAAAAGCAAAAGTGAATGATGTTGTGCCAATCTTATTTTTGTGTAAATATTTGGCATTGCAGATTGTGAGTTTACAACTATAGGATGAGCGTAATAGCAGGGATTGGATAGTTTTTTTTTTGATAAAAAGGGGGCCAATCTTTTACCGTGTACATAATACTCACATCAGATGATGATCTAAGTTTAAGGATATTTACAATTAAGATTTCCAATAAAAAACAGAAAATGGGTAGAACAGGAACTAGAAAAATCAGCCCCAAAGATCTAGACAAATCTTGATTTATGACGATATGAATTTCTAGATAGACAATCGGCCGTTGAGTGATGGATGTGCTCAAGTGATGCCAATCAATTTGAGTCTTTCTTGTTGAAGATAGAGAAGCTACTTATCAGATTTTTGGTGGCTGGAGAACCAGAATTGGGAAAGATTTGTTGAGCTGCTTGACAGCTGATCATCCGTTTAAAAGTCACTGGGGCAGTCTCTCATGAAGTCCATCGAACTTTGCAAGTCTTCGATTTTCATCATAGTCTAAACAAAGAGCTTGAACTATAAAACAAACAAATTTGAGAGATTTCATGTGAGTGGAAGGGTAGGGAAGTCCGATTATGAGCTTGCTATTTGTGATGGTTGTTGTTGAGAATCGATGAATTTCTGGACTAGTTGGTATCCGATTGGATCCAACTCTCGACAATCTTCGTCCATCTGTTTCATGTGGATCCCACTCAGCTCTCCGAATAGATCGACAGTCGGTCTGACGAGATCGTTGACAGTGATGCGAGGTTGAGGGTGTGCTAAGACGGATTGGATGCTAGTCAGTTGGGTGTTTCTTAGACCACAGGCGACGATCTCCTTGAATCCATGCTCGCACTCCTGCTCGATGTTCAGGGCGAACCCATGGCTTGTGATCCTCCTTCGGACTTGGATTCCAACGCTGGCAATCTTGCACCATTGGCTGCCGATGAAGATCCCGACCGGCAGATCCGGATTGTCGGCTGGATTGAGACTGATGATCGGGCGCGGTAAGGTCGGATGGACTAAGATTGATCTCAATAGATTCATCAAAAAGTCCACGTACATCCTCGTATTCAACTGGAGCGGGGGAAAAAAAAAACAACGCGTGAATATTGACTACTTAGTATTAAATCGGATCTTCAACTCAACATTCATCAGGCCTAGATTCAGGATAGGGTAAGCGACCAATTGACCAGGCCCATGGAAAGTGATTTGTCCGCCACGAAGGGTAGGAAAGAAATCTGCGCGTGGGTTGAGGATAGATAGTCTGCTACGTTCGAGTTCGAGTTGGTGATCAGATAGTTGTCTCCTGCCGGTGGTATAGACTGGATGATGTTGGAGCAAGATCAGCCAATCTGGAGCGGATGGATGATCGATCTTGTGCCGAACGAGTGAGTTCTGGAACTCGTATCCATCCTGATATCTGACTAAATCTTTGAGGTATGTCCAGATGATCGGTCTTGGTCTTGTGGATGGTTCGTGCTGGTGATGGCTGCTGCTGCTGGTGAATCGAAGCTGGTAGTGGTTTGGTCGTGATAGTCTTCCAAGTCCCGATAGTCCCTTTCTGATGGTTTCGTGTAGTGCTTCTCTCATTTCCTATGTAGATTGACTGTCGTGTCTTTTTTTACATATGAGGAGGGCAAGGCTACATTTGGGTTTATACATTTTTGAGTTTCTGCCCGAGTTTCTGCCCAGGCAGAACAGACATCCATCTGTGAAAAAGCCCAATCAGCGGTCAAGAGCAAACCGGTCGAGCCAAGTCCACTAATTCAAGCCTTCCCTGACCTCAACAGTCTAGTTTTCTGTATCTGCAGGTCCTACCCGAGCGTCTGATTAGCTTCCACCGATCGACAACTGACTGAGCACTGAAATTCATCGTCAGGAGATCATCACACTGCAAAAAAAAAAAAAAAAATCCCAAGCATGAGCGAACGTACCAAACTCGTGGTACGCCATCTACCACCCAGCTTACCCGAGGAAGTCTTCTGGAAAACTCTTTCGCGTTGGCTGGAACCCATCCCTCGGGAGGATGGCACCCTCGACCCACCCAGATGTACTGCGACCTTCAAATCATACGTACCAGGCAAGACCAGGCGAAAGTGAGCCTCCTCGAGATCCGTATTCCCTTCATCCTCCTCTCTCGGCCTGATCATGAGCTTCAGATCTCAAATATCAACGTCGAATCAGCTAGCACTCACATTGCCTTCTATTTGGATTCCTCTGGTCGAATTATTCAAGCAAAACAAAAGTCGAGATCCCTTCAAGAGCTTACATTCAATTCGCAACTCCCGACCAAGTCGTCGAATTCCACCAGGGGTACGCCAGCCAGGCTTTCCGGGATAGTCACGGCAAGTCTCCCCGTCTTTTTTTTTTTTTGCGGACTGCCATCTGTCTCAAATGATCATCCGTTTGACGCTGTTTTGAACACAGGAAATGTGACATTCCCCAAGGTAGAATTTGCTCCTTACCAAAAGGTCGCTGGCCCACCCAAGAAGATTGACAGTCGGATTGGGACCATAGATACAGGTTCGCACCAATATCCGGCCAATGTATTCTATTGAAAACTGTGGACAATGATGATAATAACTTGAACGCCTCACGTTTTCAGATCATGATTATCAAGCATTCCTCGCCAGGCTTAATGCACCAGTCCCTGAACCTAGCACTAACCCTGACAAGCCAGATGAGGCGCCAGAAAAAGTCGAGCGACCCGAAATAACACCGTTGATCGAGCATCTTCGTAATGCCCGCCAGGCTGCCCAAGAGGCCGCGCTGACTGCTAAACAACAAAGGCAAGCAGCCACCTCTGCCAAATCTACATCTGGCCGCTCATTTGCTGGCCCACCTCAAATCATGAAAAGGGTGGCAACAAACAACGAGAGCAACCAGCCAACCGGCGTCTCATCACGCAAATCTGGTGATCCTGCATCCCACGATCCACCTCCTCACAAAATCGATTCGGCACCATCGACTTCAAAAGGAGTCAAGCAAACGGGGAAGTCTTCGTCAACAGCGGCTGCCTCAACTGGCCAAACTACATCTGCCGGTTCGAATACCAAATCCCGTCCAAATA